CGCCGGGCCCGTGCCGGTGTCCCTGTCCCCGCCGGGCCCGTGGCCCTGTCCCTGTCACTGCCGGGCCCGTGTCCCTGTCCCCGCCGGGCCCGTGCCGGTGTCCCTGTCCCCGCCGGGCCCGTGGCCCTGTCCCTGTCACCGCCGGGCCCGTGGCCCTGTCCCTGTCACCGCCGGGCCGCTGTCGCCCTCTGCCGCCGCCCGGCCGCCACTGCAGGGGTGACGCGGAGGGTCTCGGGTGTCGCCTGGAAGGGAAAAACTGGGATCGAACATTGTCCCCCCGCCGTGGAGGCGCGGGAAGGAAACGGCGGCAGAGCACGAGGAATCGAGTTTTCTAGTAAAATAGAGGAAATTTAAGCCTGAGCTGGCAGCTTTGAGGATAAAGAGAGGCTGCCTGCTGTGTCCTGGGGTCTGCAGATGCTGGGTGGGATAAGGGGTTGAAGCCCACCCTGGTGGGGTTCTGGTGGAGCTGATGAAGGTGCCTCCTTTGCCTTGGGGTGGCATCAGGCTCCTGCTGCTCCAGGTGACAGCACGCAGCTCCAGACATCAGGGAAGCCGTCACCACCTCTTCCTGCTAGGACCTGGATTTGGCAAATCTGCACGGGCCAAGGAGCAGCAGTCAGGGGTGTCCTGGGAGGCCCGGCAGAAAATGGGGATGGAACCCCTAAAACAAAACCTTCCCTTCGCAGCTGGAGCAAAAGGGACGGGGCAGAGCCGTGGGAATGCTGGTGGCTGTCCCTGGTGTAGGGACACAGCAAGGTTACCCCAAGAACAATCCCGTGCCAAGGCTCCTCCCCAGCTCCCAGCACAGAGAACTTCATCCCTCCGTTTCCCCTCAGCTGTTCCTTCCCAACCACATCACATGCCAGGCCAGGTTTAAGCAAAATAAACCCAGTTGCCACGGTTACCCAGAGCAGGGATGCTAAATATACAGAATATAGATATTTTTATATATTTTTAACTGCCATGCACAGAGCCCGTGAGCCCGAGCAAGGGACACGCTCCCCCACGGGATCTGAGCCCTGCAGGCCTCAGGGTGGCTCACAAGTGGGTAAAGGTCCATGGCAGCCCCTCTGTGGCTTTGAGGTGTTGATTTCTCCCTGGATTCAACCCCACCTGGGCTCACCTGAGTCCTCCTGGTGGCTTTGTCTGTGTCACTGTCACCCTGCATGGCACAGCCAGACCTCGCCCCCAGCAGCCCACCTCTCCTGCAGTCAGAGTATGCACAAATCCCAGCTCCTGCTCCATGCCATCAGCTCCTCCTGCCCTCCCAGCGCTCAGGAGAGGAATGTCACCCATGGAAACTTAACCCAGGCGCTCCCAGGGATTCACTCTGCGTACTCTCCACAGTGCTTGGGGAGAATTCCATCTTTTTACTATAAAAGTGGGTAATTACCGGGTTTTGCACCACCCACAAGATCCCAGCGTTAATAGGGAGAGCTGTCAGGAAGGGAAAATTAACTCTACAATGTGGAATGTGCTCAGCTTCGGTGTCTGAGGCACCCCTGGGTGAGGTTCATCAGCTCTCAGACTTCCAGGAGCGAAGGGAAGGGAAGCACCTCTCCAAGAGGATCCACGTGAGTGGCAGTGAGGCCATCCCAGGATGCAGGGAGCATTCCCTGCTGGTGAGCAAATCCTCTTTTTTCCTCCCCATCGGGAATTCTGGGTTAGCCCAGTGGTGTTGGAGCAATCCTGACTGTCCTCCCGACCCCCTCAGGATGGGTTTAGGAGATGCCAGCCCATCACTAATCCAGCAGCACCAATCCCAAGGATTTTCCTCATGAATTGGATGAATTAACTCTGTCCAGGCCTACCAGCACCTGGATCCACACCTTGATTTTCCTTCTTAGATGCTCTGGAGCTTCCCCTTGCTCCAGGTGATCCAGGAGTGCTGGGATAGGAAAGAGGCTCAGACCTCCCTCCTCCTCCTCCTCACCTGGGGCCTGAAAGGAGAATCAGCATCCCCATGGCCAGCCTCAGCACCTTCCCGGGGATCAGCCCCTGGGGATCCAGCCCCGTCTCCCAGGTGAGGGGAGGATGGAGGGGGCAGCAGGGAGGGGGTGCCCAGACTCCCACCCCGCTCTGGGAGCACCCAGCCATGTCCTTTCCCCACCTCCCCAATCCCTGCCCGTGGCTCCTCACCCCGGGGCGCTCAAGAGAGCAGAGGGGGGCGATGGGAAGGGGTTGGATGCTGGAAAGGGGAGGGGACAAGGATAAGACACCCCCCC